TGGTTTTCTTAATTCTTCTTTGCTCTGGGCAAGGAGAGACCTATCATTGCCTCTAGATTGCTGCTTGCAAGCTTTTAAGATCCCAGTCACTACTTACCAAAGTAGGAGGTGGAACAATATTTTGTGTAGTATGTTATGCCAATTGAGCTTGATGTCCCCTGTGACCATGGTCCTGAGCCCACAGGTGCAACTACTCGCTCCCTCTGTGTAGCTGGCTGTGAGCAAGAAGTGACTACCACCTTGTCCCTTGTCAGCCTACTATACCCCTGGAAATTCTTACAGAACATACAAATACACTTGTAGAACCACTGTCTGCCAACCGTATACATGGTCCTGGGTATACTCCCTGCTGCATAGACATACCTAATAGTTCAGCTTATCCACCCATCTATCTACCTGTATACCTGTGTTTGCCTTCACTGACTACACAGCACTGTATGTACAAAAGGGTTCATCTTTGTTGTCTGTACCTCCCATGCACCTCTCTATGTCTTCCTCTTCCTCAATGCCACCATGTTGATTACTCATATTTGGTACATTGCCCTTCTCTTGCCCAATAAGAAGCAACTTTGAGGAAGGTCTCCAGCTTATGGAACTCTTGAACCCTGTGTGTTGCCAAGTTGTTGTTCAGCAGCCTGCCATGCCCCACCAATATTGGGCCTTCTGGACTTGAATTAGTGGCCTACCATGTTGTTTAGTAACATTGGGACTGTTCCTTTTTACTTGTCAACCTTGGGCGTGTCAGCCTCAGCAGCCAGCAGCTGTCTGAGTGAAGAAAAGCCTACAGCTTCAGTGAGGCTGGGAGCAGGAGGCAGAGCTGAAGCCTAAGGTTGAGGGGCTTTCACCCAGCCCCTTGTTGTTGTTGTTGTTGTTATGTACTGTCAAGTTGGACCCGACTCATTCCGACCCCTCCTTAGGTTTCTGAGGCAGTATCACTATGGAAGTAGATTGTGCAACCTTCCTTCCAAGGACTGGTGGTGGGTATGAACAACCAACCTTCTGGTTAGAAGTCAAGTGCCTTAGGCACTACACCAGCCTGGCATTTGGAACTTGGACTTAAACCTTCCAAAATTGTAAGAGAACAAACTCCTGTTTGTTTAACCCATATTATTTGTGGTATATCTTCTGTTAGAGCAGCACTAGCTAACCAAAACAAGGAATTTAATAAATTTACTCTTCCACTGGTAAGTTGTCATGGTAATATCAATTGTGTGAGCTAAAAGGAAAAAATGGAAGATGTTGGCATTACCTTACATGTTATGACAAATTTATAATAAGTGGAAAGTATAGAAAATTTCATGACTGCCTAAAGAGAAAATGTAAAAAAAAAAATCCTTTCCCAAAGTACTTTTCAGAAGTCATGTAATGAATCTATTTTAATTAGGGTGAGGGGTTTAGAGAGTTGTTTTGTAGTATAAAATAATAAAGATTTTAAAAAGATAATTAAAACTTTAAAGAAGTAAATATTCATTTTATATATACTGTTTCAGGGTAAAGTTATGGAAGATAAAATTTCTTTATTTATCAATTTTTACTTTCAAGGTGAGCCAGGGGTTTTTGTTGTTTGCTTGTTTTTTTTCAGTATCTCAACTTAAACTCTGTCTTTCCAAGGTCACTTGCATGCATAAAGCTTTCCTAGAATTGTTGTTGTTGTTATGTGCCATCGAGTTGGACCTGACTCATAGCGACTCTCCTTGGATTTCTGAGGCAGTATCACTATGGAAGTAGATTGCCCCATCTTCCTTCCGAGGAGTGGCTGGTGGGTTTGAACCGCCAGCCTTCTGGTTAGCAGTCAAGTGCCTTAGCCACTATGCTACCAGAGCTTCTTTCTTAGAATGAGAAAAACAAATAAATCATTTGCTGTAGAATCAGTTCCAACTCACGGAAACCTTATGTGTTGCACAGCAGAACTGCTCCATAGGGTTTTCATGACTGTGACCCTTCAGAAGCGGATTATCAGGCTTTCTTCTGAGGTACCTCTGGATTGGTCTGAACTCCTAATATTATGATTAGTAATCAAGTGCCACCCAGGACTCCTTCCTAGAGTGAGATACCTCACTATGAATCAGAGCCGACTGGATGGCACTTAACAACAGCAACAAGTAGCATGACACAAACATAATCAAAGATCAACGTTTTTAAAATAAACTATCTTAACAGTAGCAAGAAATCTTTTCTGTGGAAAGCTTTCACTTGTCATATGCATGGAGATGGGCACATGAATGAGGTAATCTCACCAGGTTCTTTTCAGCTGTTGTTGTTATGTGCCATCAAGTTGGACCCAACTCATAGTGACCCCTCCTTGGGTTGCCAAGGCGGTATCACTACAGAAGTAGATTGCCCCATCTTCCTTCCGAGGAGTGGCTGGTAGGTTTGAACCTCCAGCCTTCTGGTTAGCAGTAAAGTGCCTTAGGCACTATGCTACCAGAGCTCCCTCTTTTCAGCTAGTGGGGTGATTAACCTGATGATCTATTTGCAGGTGTTTCCAGTATCAGAGATTTCACTTTAAAATTAGGAAACAGTTTCCTGTCAATGCTTACTTAGTATTGTTTTTAAAATGCTTTATTACAACAACAACTTGAAAAATTAGATAAGAATCTTAGGTTCCAGTGAGTTTTTGTTAGTGGGGAAGGAACAAATCAGAAAAAGAAGGTAAGATGATCACAGAACTTGAAGACTATAATGAATGACTTTGAATTTCACATGTAGAAACTGTTGAAGTGGTGTATGTTTTGCTGTGTATATTTGCAACAACAACGAAAAAATGAATTAAAAAAATTAAAAAGCCTAGAATGATAAAGGAATAATATTTCTATCCATTCATCTATCATTTGACAAATTTATTGAATGCTCACTATTGAGGATATAGTTATGAGTAACATAGACAAAGCCCTGGCCATCATGAGGTTTACAAACAAACAAACAAGTGAATAAACTATAATAATGTTGGGTCAATGCTATACGAAAAGAGAGAAGGTTAAGAGTATTGAGTGAGGGAATGTGATTTTAGACAGGCAGTTGGAGAACGATTTTCTAAGGGAGTAACATTTGAACAGATACTTGAATGAAGTAAGAGAAAAGCCACACAAAGATCTAAGGCAGGGATGGACAACTATAGTCTGCAGGTTGAATCTAGCCCACATTCTGTTTTGGTGAATAAAATTTTACTAGAACACAGCTACATCTGCTTATTTACATAATGTTGATGGATGCTTTTATAGTACTAAGGCAGAGTTGAGTAGATGAGTCAGAGATCCTATGGCCACAAAGACAAAAATATTTACTATCTGGCCCTTTCAAAAAAAGGCTTGCTGAGTCCTATTATATAGAAAGAGTATTCCAAGAAGATGTAATAGGATAGTGCAAAAACATTGTAATGGGTGTGTTCTTGGGTTCTCTCCAGAAAAGGCAAGAAGACCCTTATGGATGGTAGGGAGTGAGCAAGGGAAGCAGAGGTAGCAAGGACATCAGTAGTGGTTTAACATCATGAGCTTGAAATGACACGACACCAAGTAAGAACTTTAAATGTGATTCTTCTTGGTGTAGAATTGCCACATTCAGCAAATAAAAATACAAGATGCCCAGTTAAATTTGGATTTCAGAAAAACAATTACTTTTTTTTTAGTTATAAATAAATCCTAAATATTGGATGTTAATAAATAGACCCACAATGTAAAATCAACAGGCAAGTGGTCAAGTCAGTGGAAGCTCTGCTCCATGCAGTCATTCAGGGACTTAGGCAGACAGAGCTTGTACCAGCTTCAACACTGGATTCCAAAGTCTCCCTGAGCATCAATATCCTATACTTGTAGGATCATGTGCAGAAATGGGTTTTGTTTTGTTTCATTTGGTTTACTTTGTTTTCTTTAGTAGGTCTAGCAGTGGGATTTATTACTTTCAGATATATTCCATTGGCTGAAACTCAGTCACTTGAGAAGCTGGTAAACATTATCAGGCATCAGGAAAAGTGAAGAACAAGGACTTTGATGAGCTTCTAGCATTATCTACTCAATGGGATTATCGATATTTTTGGCACAAAGAAAGAAATTTATTTTTCAATTCAGAAATAGCTAGCAAGACATCTGTGGGAAATGCATCTGATTGGTATTTCTATTTCCTCTTCCTTTAGAGGCCAGTGTTTCCTAATTTTAGATTCCTCTCTTAGCCAGAGAGAGTGGGCAGAGCAAGTGTTAGAAAGCCCAGGCAGTCAGAGAGGCTTCCTCTGACTCTCAACAGCATCCACAGGTTATATAATTCAACAAGTATTTATTGAATGTCTTCTCTAGCTCAGGCCCTATTCTAAGACCTGCGGACACAGCAGTGAATAAAAAGTTTCAGCCCTCATGGAGCTGATGTTCAGGAAGGGGAAGATAATAGTGAACTGATAAAATGAGGCTTAAACAAATTATAAGATGACAGATTTGATACAAGTTGATGTTATTTGATATAGGATGGTTAAGGATGAGTTCACTGATACCATTTGAGTAGGCCCCTGCATGAAGGGAGGGAGTCAGTCATGAGGATACCTCCAAAAAAAAAAAAAAAGTTCTGGCAATAAGTGCAAAGACCTAGAAGTAGCAAGGAAGATGGTGTAGCTGAAGCAGAATGAGTCAGGGGGCAGAGGGGAGTGGAAAACAGGAAAGCACAGAGGCAGCTTGGAGGCCAGAGTCAGAATTGTGAATCATGTTCTGAGACTCTTGAAGATTTCTGAGCAGGGGAGTTATATCAATTGACTTAGATTTCAAAAGGGTCACTCTGGCTGCTGGATGGAGAATGTTATATGTTGAAGCAAGAGTGGGATAAAAAGGAAGTAAATTGAAATAAATCAGTGAGAGTTTGACAGTGGCAGTGAACTAAGAAGATGTCAGAGGTGGAAGTGGTGAGAGTGGTTGGTTTCTCTATGCAGTTCAGAGGTAACACTGGCAGGATTGCCAGTTGAAGAAATTACAATGTGTATTTTAGATTTCAAAGAGCAAAGCTAATGCTTTGTAAGTATGTTTTTAAATTCACAAGACCCATACCAAGACTAGCTATAGCTCTTAATCAGAGACTTGTATCATACTTCAATAGTCTCTAACCTAGCTCTCCCGCCACTTCACTTGCCTGTGTCCTAAAGATGTGTACTGGATGTATATTTCTCAAGCATCCCTTTGAACATATCCTGTCCAACTCAAAAGGCTTCAGCCCTCAAAATCCTTAATGCCAACAAGATAAGATCAAACTCCTTACACAGGACTTAAGAGTCTTCACAGTCTGGCTTAAATAGGTCATGAAGAACTTATTTCTTTCTACTCCCTTGTTCTGCTACAGGACATCTGCAACAGCCAAACTCTTTGATTCTCTGTTCACTCTTCACCAAATATGACAGGTTCTTTCCTATTTCCTTGCCCTTGCTTTTGCAGATTTCATTGTCCTCTCTCTTCATTATCTCAAATACTACTCCTGTTCCAAGGCCCAACTCAAGCTCCTTCTCTCCAAGGCCCTTCATGCCACTATGACTCACAATGCTATCCCTTTCCTCTGAATCTCCTTGTTGGTCAACAGGGGCTGACTGTTCTACAATCTCTAAAGCTGAAATTTTACATCATATATTTCACGTGTCTACTCAATTAATTACAGACTCTTAGTAAACTTTTTGGGAGCTCTGGTAGCATAGTGGCTAAGGCACTTGACTGCTAACCAGAAGGCTGGCGGTTCAAACCCACCAGCCACTCCTCGGAAGGAAGGTTGGGCATTCCTACTTCCGTAGTGATACTGCCTCGGAAACCCAAGGAGGGGTCGCTATGAGTCGGGGCCGACTCGACGGCACACAACAACAACAACAACAGTAAACTTTTTAGTATGCTTCTCATTTATAATAAGTCCTTTGAGAAGAAGGGTGCATAATCGGTGTGTGAATTTATTTAGGGGAAATTCTGTGTCTTCTTAAGGCACAGAAAATGTAGTAGCAACCTCTCACAAGAGAAACTAAATTAAAAAAAAAAAAAAACCTAAATGTACAAAGAGATAAATTCAAATATGCATTTCATGTCTAGAGATATTTTGAAGGTAAGATCCAGTTCCCAGTATTTTGTTTGAAGATAAAATAAAAGTAAACAAACAAAAACTACTAGAATGCAAGAAACTTTTTTTTTTTTTTAATAACTTCTGTTTAAAAGAGTAAATCAATTGGCTAAGGCTAGAAATTGGACTTAAGGTTTTTCACATTGTTTTGGTAGCATGATAATTAGCTAGTTTTATTCTAGAAATAAAACAATTTTATCTTTTATAAACAAATAACAGATTATTTGTTGACACAAGAACAGATAACTTATTCAGTCATGCATCTTAATTGCTCTTTCCCCAAAATAAATGTATTACAGATTTAAACTTCTGCTTACATTCCATTTATAGCATTCTCTGTTCACCACTTACTACTCATATCTAACTGTGAACAAGTTGATTAGCCTTTCTCTGACTCAGTTTACTCCTCTGGAAAATGGGAATAATATTGCCTTCCTCACTGGGTTGTTTTGAGGATCAAATAAATTAATACATGTGAAGAGTCTTGCATATAGTAAGGATTCACTATTATTAGTAGTATTATTATATGCATAACTGGCTATATACATTTATCTGTGTAAATAAATATTTCTGTTTTTCTGTTTCAGATTATAAACTACCAAGACCCAGGTCCTCTGTCTATTTAACTAGTTCTGTTTGTCTGTGAACTAAGACATCTTGAGCCTGGGAAATTAGTAAACATTACTTGATTTTTTTGAAATACAGTTTTGTTTTGTTTTGTTTTGTTTAATTTCCTAAGTGGAATTGCTAACCTTTTCACTAGTAGGAAATTCCATAGTGACACCGCCCTGGAAACCCAAGGAGGGGTTACTATGAGTGGGTCCACTCCATGGCACATAACAACAACAATACATTTTACAGGAGCTCTGGTAGCGTAGTGCCTAAGGCACTTGACTGCTAACCAGAAAGCTGGTGGTTCAAACCCACCAGCCACTCCTGGGAAGAAAGGTTGGGCAACTTACTTCCGCAGTGATACCACGGAAACCCACGGAGGGGTCGCTATGAGTCGGTCCCACTCGATGGAACATAACAACAGCAACAATACATTTTATGGACTAATTTCAATCAAAGACACTACAGTTCACTATATTCTAAGCCCCTATTAAGGAGCCCTGGTGGCACAGTGATTAAGCGCTCAGGGGTTTGATCCCACCAACCCCCCTGCAGGAAAAAGATATGGCAGTCTGCTATCTTAACGATTACAGCCGTGGAAACCCAAAGGGAGCAGTTCAGTTCTACTGTGTCCTATAGGGTCACAGAAACTTTTTTTTTTAAATAACTTCTGTTTAAATTTTTTAAACAGTTTTTTTTTTTTTTAATAACTTCTGTCCTATAGGGTCACTAAGGTTTGGAATCAACTCAATGGCAATGAATTTGGTTGGGTTTTGGTTTAAGCCCCTTTTGCTGCTTGCAATGTATTCAATGCTGAATATATCAAGTTAGCTCTCAAGTGCCATGCTTATTCTTTAATGGAATTTCAACGAAAACAGCATGACTAATATTAATGGGGCTTTAATTGCCTTCTTGATTCACCTTGGGGAGGGAGAAGATGTGAAATAATTAAGTAATGAAACAAACTTTGTCCTTTAAGTTATTTTAAAAGCACCGATTTGTTCATTCCACACATTTATGCTGGACATTCACTAGGAATTGAAGGTATAGTGTCAAAGAAGACAGAAGCATTGTTTGTTCTTATGGAGCTTCCATTTATGTGAGAAGACAGACAATAGCAAATAAGTGGACAAGTTAGTATGGGATAGTAATATGTGCTATGAAGAGACTAAAATGGAAGATGCAAAGAAAAGTTAAATGCAGGGGTGGTGAGGAGATAGTACATAACTAATTTAGATTGGGTGTATCACTGAAGAAGTGACTTTGGAACCAAGAACTTAATGATGAGAAAGCAGTCTTGTATAGATAAGGGGGCAGAGCATTCTAGGCAGAAGGAAGTGATAGTACCAATGCCCTGAAGTGAGAACAAACTTATATATTCCAGGAATGGAAATAAGGCCCAAGTGGTTGAAGTAGGTGATCTAAGGAGAAAATTGTAAAGGCAAAAAAGAAAAGTAGGGATCAAAGCCTACTTAAAAAAAAAAAAAAAACCAACTCACTGCTGTGGAGTCGGATCCGACTCACAGCGACTTCTCCTTGGGTTTCCAAGGCAGTATCACTATGGAAGTAGATTGCCCAATCTTCTTTCTGAGGAATGGCTGGTGGGTTTGAACAGTCAAATGCCGTAGACACTACACCACCAGAGCTCCATTCATATCATATAAGGGTACTGTAATAGTTTTCTAAGCTGCTGTAAAAAATTACCACAAACTGGGTAGCTTAAAATAAATTTATTGTCTCACAGTTCTGGAGGCTAGAAGTCCAAACTCCAACAAGGCCATACTTCCTTTTGGAGCTCTAAACAGAGTATCCATTCCTTGTCTCTCCCGGTTTCTGGTGGCTGTTCTAGAATTACTAAGTTTGTGGACACATTACTCCAATTTCTGCCTCTATCTTCATATAGCCTTCAAATCTGTGTTTCTCTTCTTCTTTTATATATAGGGCCCACCCAGATAGTCAGGATGATCTCTTCATATCAATATCCTTAATTATATCTTAAAACCCTTTTTCCAGGGCTCTAATTTTTACAGAAGCAGATCACCAGGTCTTTCTCTGGTAGAACTGCTGAGTAGGTTTGAACCACCAACATTTTGGTTGCAGACAAATGCTTAACTATTGCACCATCACGGTTCCTTCCAAATAAAGTTAACAGTCACAGTTTTGGGATTACAATCTGGACAATTTTTTTTGGGGGGAGGGTATCATTCATCCTATTATAGACATAGTAAGGTATTCACATTTTACTTGAGGGACAAGTGGAAGACACTGGAGGGTTTTAAGTAGAAAAGTGACATGCTCTGATTTCCATTTTAGAAAAAAAAAAAAAAAAAAAGAAGACCATTCTGGCTAAGGTGAAAAGATCCCATCGCACAGGGATAAAAGTGGAAGCTGGAAGAACAGTTCAGAGACTATTGCAGTCAACCAGGTAAGATACAACATGCCTCAGATATGCATAGTAACAGAGAAGACAAACTATGTGGACAGATTTGGGTATACTTTGGAAGGGGTACAGATGGGAATTGGTGATGAACTAGATATAGGAGTAAGAGAAAGGGCAATGTCAAAGATAACTTTTTGTTTTTTTGCTAGATCAGTGGATTAGATGAAGATGTTAGTTACAGAGATGGAGAAGAATGCTAGGGGAGAAGGGGAAATTTTGAAGGAGAGAATCAGAGTTCCACTCCACAGATACCTGTATAAATGGTGGTTATTGTTAGGTGCTGTTGAGTCATTTACAACTCATAGCAACTGTAGGTACAACAGAATGAAATACTGCCTGGTCCAGCACCATCCTCACAATCATTGAACCACTTGTTGAGGGTCTTCCTCTTTTTTGCTGACCTTTTACTTCACCAAGCATGTTGTCTTTCTCCAGGAACTGGTTCCTCCTGATAACATGTCCAAATAAGCAAGATAAAGTCTCATCATCCTCTCTTCTAAGGAGTATTCTGGCTTTATTTCTTACAAGACAGATGTGTTTGTTCTCTGGCAGTCGGTAATATACTCAATATTCTTCATCAACACTATACTTCAAAAGCATCAGTTCTTCTTTAGTCTTCCTTATTCATTGACCTGCTTTTACATGCATGTGATATGAGTGAACATATCATGGCTTGGCTTATGTCAGGGGCACCTTAGTCCTCAAAGTGCCACCTTCACTTTTTAATACTTAAAGAGGTCTTTTGCAGCAGATTTGCCCAAAGCAATATGTTGTTTGATTTGTTGACTGTTATTTCCATGTCTGTTGACTGTGGATTCAAGTAAAATGAGACCTCTGGCAACTTCAATATTTTCTCCATTTATCATGATGTTGCTTATTGGTCAAGTTGTGAGATTTTTTTCACTTCTTTATGCTGAGTGTAATCCATACTGAAGGGTGCTACAAGGCTGTTACGTGGCAGAGAGACCAATACAGGCTCTGCCAGTGGTTTGGCAAGAGAGAGGAACTGAATTTGCACTTTGCCCAGTATTATGGATGTAGATTCCAGATCCTATGATTAGGCCACTATATTTCCAAACAGTATGAGAATCAGCACTCCAGGCATCATCAGGGAAGAACAGGTTATGGTAAAAGCCAAAAGGAAGTGGGGGGAAAAATGAGTTTGCCTATAAGAAAACTACATGTCCTTAGGCTATTGGTTTTCAAAGCATGGTCCCTAGAACAGCTGCTGCAGTATCACCTGAAAAACAAACTTTCAGTCTCACCCCAGGCCTACTGAATTAGAAATGCTGGGATGGAACCTAGCAATGTGTTTTAACAAATCTTCTGGGTGGTTCTGATGCATGCTCAAGTTTGAGAACCCCCCATTATGT